CCGGGTCCTCGGTGGCCAGCACGTGCAAGGACCAAGGACGGTCCCAGGAAAAAAAATTTTTTTTTGAAAAAAAAACTATCTTATGCAGAAAATTTAACTGAACAACTTTTATTTAAGGGTCACATCGAAATTATTTACCAAATTTTAAATAAAAAATAAAATTAAAAAATATTTTATTGTTTATAATTTAATTTTTTTGGCCGGCCGGGCAAGTGACCCTGGACCACTCTAGTAGCCTAGTTTTTTTTCATTAAGTTACTTGCAGGTTTGTCATATCAAGAGTCTCAAACCAAAATAGGTTTGTATATTAGCATAGGTAGGGTATGTAAGAAAGGGGATAAGCTAACTGTAGAGGCGATCGTGGTTCTTTGACCTTTTGTAGCTTGAAGTTTTGGGGCAAGTTATATGAAAGGTCGAAAGGGAAGCTGAGTAAACCTCGAGATTGGGGGATAATAGTTTGTTCAATAATTTAGAAGAGTATGTGCACGAATAAGAATATGAAAAACTTGCATTCAATTTGAAATATTCAAACTCCCCTCTAATGAGAAAGGATTTAATAATATTCAACATGTATGGTGTGGGGAAGAGTGTTCGTCTTGGACAATATTGTTACTTAACAGGGCGAGGGAAGTCGATGAGAAGTGCAACTGCTGACAAAATGTTTGGTCTTCGCATTAGGCACTCGCCATCACCAACAGTCCCACCCTACTTCTTATGCCCCGCTGAATAGGGTAGGGGGCAATATGCATCCCCTTGAATGTGAGAGGTAGTTGGGCTTGCAGGGGTCTCCTATATGGGCTTAGTAGTAGTAGTAGGTAAGTAGTGAAATAATTTGACATAAGAATATGACGTAGTTTATGAAAGAAAAAAACAACGCTCAAGAGAACAATGCATAGGTCCAACAATTAATGAGTTGACATATAGTCACAAGAAACAAGCTTGCCACTACCATATGGCACCACCAAACTTATGTTATGCCGATGTATCCCACAAAAGAGAGAAAAATTCGGCCTGGGCTATGTCACATGCTATATCTTAAAACGAGCAGGGCAAGGAAAAAGACCCTATGCACCAATAGCCAACCTATCCATGACTCATGTTGGACCTTCTCAACTGAAGGGTTTTCGCACCACTGTTGTGGTGCAAGCCTACTTCTTGGGTTGCTGAGAGATCCGGTGCTATGTTCACAATTCCGAGTCGGAGGGTTGCATTTATACACTTGAGTCATTTTTTCTTTGGTTTGTTATACAGACCATTCGCATGGGCCCAATGATCATTGTAAGGGTGTTAAAATTGCAGGCATGGGCTTTTAGGGGGATGGGCAATCCTTGCAGGCGTATGTCCAGTATTAACCACGGTCCTTAAAAAAAAAAAAAAATGGTACGCGCCCCCCTGAGGCCTGAAACTTAAAAGTTAGTGCATATTTCGCGAATAGAACGACGCTATAAATTAACACACATGCGTTATATTTTCTATTCGAATCTCGAAAAAAAAAAAAAATGTTGTATTCGAATAGAACATTCCTTTTTTTCTCGAGGTTAGCACTTGCCCTTGTGTTCGGAGTCACAGACACGTTGCGTGCTGCATGACGCTCTCTCTCTCTGTCCTTCACACACACACACAGTCTTGGAGTTGGGTATAGTGAACATGACAAACCACATTAACATACAAACTACGGGCTACACACCCTTGCCCTCATGGTAAGTCAATCACATACTACATCTTCAAACAAGCAGGGATTAAAAAAAAGACCCTACACACCAATGACCTACCCATCAGTGACTCATGCTGGATATTCTCAAGTAAAGGGCTCTTACACCACGACTGTGGTGCAAACCTACCTACTGGCCTTCGAAGAGATCCAAGTTGGTGTTCCCAAATAATAGCTAGAGGAAAAATATGTATAGAACCAAAAGTAGCTCAATTGATACACCCACAAACTGCTGAAATAGTCCAAATACAATCAGATACCAATAATAATATAATTCTGAATTACCTGGGGCCAATCAGCTTCAAAGGTGATGTGAGAGGTAGTTGTGCTTGCCGGGTTCCCCTGTATAGGCTTAGGAGTAGTGGTAGGTAGATAGGGAAAGTGAAATCGAGAGAAAAATATTCGCAGCCAGGAGGCTGCGATGTCGGGGCAAATACCCTTGCCAGGGTTTTTTGAACGTCGGACGTTGCCCGACTCTTTCGTTGGATTGAGGGACCTGATGAGATTGACATTGCCAAAAGTTTATTCAGACCTGACCTATAATTGAGAGCCTAAAAGTTTTCGAACTGTAGTCCATTCGCGTGCAGCGTCCGAGAGTGATGGCAGTAAGCGGCTGTGCTCCATTTTTATCAAAGTCGTTGAAGCGTACGGACATGGGAACGGTAAAACTAGACCTATTCTGCCTAGCGGCCGCGCGATTCAGGGCCTAGGTAGGCTAAAAAGAGGGATGCGCTTGGTATAGAGTTGAGGCGCAGGGGGAGTAGGTAGAAGGGTGCTTGCAAAGGAGATTGATTATGCCTGTTGGATAAAATAGAAGAGGATTGTCTTTTTTTTACTTCTCACTCGCCTGCATGATAGAAAAGATTTATTATTTTGAAAAACTTGGCTCTGTATGCATCATAAAATGATTTCAATTGAAATAAACTTGGAGCAGATAAGGTCAAACGGATTTAACTTTGTCCCCAGGATTGACTTTTCTATCCCGAACGACCTTATCTACCTATATCTGTCCAAATGATTCTCGTTGTTTATCTTCTTTAGTTTTTTTAATCTAAGTTACCAAAAACTTATGAGTAATGAGAATAAAAGAAACCTGCTCGTGGCGAACACAGCCTTTCTCTCTAGGAAGCATCCAAGGCGGGGGTTCATATGCTTTCGGAGCCGCCCCTGTTAACGACTTGCAGTGGACCCGATTCGTCGGGGGTGGTACTCTGTCGACTCGGTGGTGATGGCCCAACCTCTGAGATCCGAGTCTTCAGGCTCGGGCGAGGGGAAGGAGTATCAACAAGACCACTTCCTAGAGGGATAGGTGTGTGTCGGAGACAGAAGAAGCTCCAACCCACAAGAAGAAGTAGGTAATGAAGGTGATGGTTCTCTTTGCGTAGTGATATCGACTGCAGTTTTGTTTTCAGTAACTTGATGATGAAGAATAAATACTTCATCATTCGTGAAACAGAAAGAGTAAGTATTGCCCAGGAGGACAAAGCGACCAACAAAATTTTTATTCGCTACGTGATACTTTCCTCCGAGCAAGTTGCATATGGTACAAAGGCGTGATCGAACCGAGAGTTCAAACTTCGGCCAGGAACCAGATCACTTGTTGATTTGTATGGTAGCAGTGAAATTTATTTGCAGGAGTCATTCCTGGCAGGACCCAACCGTAAGATAAATGTTAGGTTGTCCTTCCAAATCTTTCGTCAATATCGAGTCTCCGCCCTGGAAGCGGAGGTATAATAACCTCTTCAATCATATAGGCCGGGAAGAATAACTTTGGCAGATCATCTCATCGAGTCAAAATCCTATCTTGTGCGATTTGATAAGAGTGATTTTATTTATTTTGTGATCAAGAATTATAAAGGGACTAGGATTATTTTATGGGTTTCACGTTTGGTAGAGACCGTCCTAGTCGACCGGCGTTCGTTTCGTACCTAGGAGATCAACGCCCTAGGGGACGGACAACGTTCGAGTCCACTTGGCGTTAACCAAGCGTACCTATACTCCAGCGAGCGAACAAACGTCCTCGGCTGACCTACCTCTGCAATTGCAGGCAAAAACTTTCGCACGTGGGTCAGTAGCTCGGTAGGGATACGCCCCTGAGGGTGGTGACAACCCCTTAGGGAAGGTAAGGTGGGCCCCACGAGAACCTATCCTGTCGTAGGGGACCGTGGGATGTACATCTGGCGCACCCGGCTAGAGCGGCGAAGGGACGACGCAACGGCTGTATCGGTGGCTCGCAGGATTATTTTGCGTCGTTTCTAAGTTGTCTCTCATTTTGTTTTTGTTAAACTCCTGCGTGACATGGCCGGGAGGGCCCTCGCTCGCTCGAGGGCCGATGCGCTCGACAACGCTATACCCGGTTGTATTTTTGGCGCGCAGCGGGTTTTTCGATAGGGAAACGTCGACGACCTTTTTGGTGGTTAGAGCGGTGTAGAGGGGGCGGGAATGTGGAGCAGAAGGGTGCGGTCGTTGTCGTAAGATCGACCGGTCGTTTAGTTGGTCGTAGTAGAGGCAAAAGCTGAACGGCCAGTGGTAGCCTGCAAAGGTCGAGCAGCAGTCGTTTCGGACGGCCCCCAGGGGTTTCTTCTTCAGGCAAAGTTTGAGTTCGAGAAATCGAGGAAGTGTGGAGGGAAATGGGAAAGTGAGGGGCGTTTGGGAGGGGCGGAGGGTCAGCCGATGGGGTCTCCAAAATGCGCTCCAAGACCCCACGCCCTCCGGGCTGCGCCTCCACACGGTGCAGGGTACACAGTATATATATATACAGAGCTGCCCGGTAAACCGTAGGCAGAGAGGGAGAAGAGGACAACGAACGAGGGGCTGTGTGGCATATATCTATATATGTAGAGAGAGAACATAGAAGTTAGGGGGGGAAAAAAACCTGCCCGTATATGCGCTAATACAGTCCCACGAAAAAAAAAAAAAAAAAAAAACCCAGTCCCACCATATCAGCCTTGCGTATCCGCGCCCTTGCACTGGGGACATCTTGCTGACGTTGCAGACGCGACAGCCAGTGGCGGGGCCACGAATTGGGCGCGGGGGGCGCGAGCGCGGGTGCGAAAACTACAGTAAGCGAACACTTTGAGCCTAGTTCCAGTACTCGTCATCCGCCAATATTTTGGAATGCACATGGGGAGAGAACCTATCCAGATGCATTCGAAATTTTGCCGGATGGCGAGTAGTGCAACTAGGCCCTTTGGCGGGTCCCTCGGTGTACCCTCGGCGCACCCTCGGCGCACCCTCGGCCATCTCGCTGTTCGTTTCTCCTGTGCGCGCCAGCCTCGCCGATTACGTCCCCGCCATTCTCCTCTCCTCGGCTTCTGCGTCGACGCACTCCCGCCACTTGCTTCGGGCGGGACCGGGACGCGGCGATCTTGCGCCCTGCCACGCGGCTGCAAGGCGACTCGCCGTTGAGCGGGAGCGGCTTTTATCGAGGGAACCCAATGTCGACACTGTCGACGAGAATGGCGAGCGTCGGAAATGCCATGGGGGCCGCGGCATGCCGCGCGGCAGTATCGAGGGCGACGGTTTTGTCGTCGTCGTCGTCCTGCGCGCCAAGCGCCGCACGATCGGCATCAGGATCGGTGCTGCTGGGCACCGGCGACGTAGCGTGCTGCTTGGCACAGGTTGCTGGCGATGGCTCAGCATCCCGCGCAAGGTCAGCCGCGGGGGCGACCAGCGGCTGTGCTCATGCCACGTGGCTAGCGCGGCGGCAGCACGTGCAGACATTCCCGCCGCCTGTCGTGAGTGGCGTGGTGCGCGGCCGTCATGAGAACTGCCGTGGCGGATGGATCGCCGAAGAACGAGGGGAAAGCGTGGCAGGAGGAGGAGAGGGACGTGGAGGCTTCAGCGTCAGAGGGGGGACCACCGCAGGTCGGCTTCGAGGGGGTGTGCACCGAGATTGCGCGATGAGGGCGGGGATTAGATGCCGCAGCAGCAGCAGCGGTGCCAGCGGAGGGGGCAAGGAGGATACGACGACGAGACTGATGGGCTTGATCGCAGAAAAGAATGCACAGAATCCTGTTGTCGTCTACTCTAAAACCTGGTGCCCTTACTGCGCTGCAGTCAAGGGGCTGTTTACGAAGCTAGGGGTGGAGTTCAAGCTGGTAGAACTGGATGAGTTGGTGGGCGAAGAGGATTGGCAATACGCGCTGAGTCAGCTCACTGGGCAGAGGACTGTGCCAAGTGTCTTCGTGGGGGGTGAACACATTGGAGGGTGTGACAGCACGATGGAGCTGCATGAAAGTGGACAATTAATGGACCGGCTCCGCGAGGCCGGGGCATCGATCGCTTCCGCTTAGTGCAGTTTCACCCCTCGCAGCCGCACGGCATATTTCACTTCCCCCTCGCCTTCCCCACCTTCCCCCGCCTTCCCCCCGGCCCCTTTCCTACCCCTCTGCTTTCCCCACGCGCCCACCTCGTCTCCCCTCCATCCTCCGCTCCCCTGCCCTCGTTCTCTGTGTTTGCCTCTCTGTAGATCGCTCGCTCCCCTCGCGGTCTTCCCTCCCTCTTGGTCTTCCCTCGCTCCCTCCCTCCCTCCTCCTCCGTCTGCCGGTCAAATGCTGTTGCGTTGTCCCTATCCTGTTAGCATTCGCCGGGCACCGGAAGTCTCGCCGCGCCGTTCAGCTTTCCAGCTTTGGCGCGTATATGATTACCTTCCCTCCCAGCTACTTCGCACTCTCCTCGCTCAGATTGTAGGTAGGTATGGCTTTCGCATAACCCGACAAGCGGCCAGTCTCTTAAGCCGACCAGACTGCGGATTTTCTGTGTACGTTTTCCCCGTCCCCCGTCCGTTGACCCAATTCTTGGCCTTTTTGTCCGTCGATCCAATTCTTGGCGTTTGTGTACATCCCTCGGTCCTAATACTTGTTTGTTTTGCAATGGTTCCTGTAATCGGCTGAGACACACGCACACACACACACACACACACACAGAGTGAGAGAGAGAGAGAGAGAGAGAGAGAGAGAGAGAGAGAGAGAGAGAGAGAGAGAGAGAGAGAGAGAGAGAGAGAGAGAGAGAGAGAGAGGGGGGGTGAGGGGAGGAGGAGGGGAGGGGAATGTAGGTGAAAGGTAGTGAGAAGCTATAAATCAAGTGATGGATTAATTAGCCGAACATTCTGTAACCAGTTGGTTGATCGATTGATGAAAATTTGGGATTGAAAATATTGGCGAATGGGTTAAGGGGAGGGACTCTTCTTAAAGCAGTGAATTTCCTTAATCAATCAAGAAACCACTTCCGAGAGTAGTCAGTTCACTAAATCAATCAAGCAAACGATTTCCCCAATCAATTTCTCTCAAACCAATCAACAGCCAATCGCCCAATCAACCAAGCAATCAACCAGTGCTAATTGATCAATCGATCAATCAATTTATTAATCAGTCAATCAATATAGCAACAACAGATCTTCTCTGTATCTTTGTAAGAATCAATTACCACTCGTCATGGGGGAAAAAAAAAAAAAAAAAAAAAAAAACCCCTTAATCGAGGAGCCGATTACCGGAAAAACGATTTCCTCAGTTGATCAATGTTTGGACCAGTGACCCCCCCCATCAGTGACCCGCCCCCCCATTCATCTTACGTCACTACGGTAGTAGTAATCACACTATTTCATTGTTTTTTTTTTCCCCGATTTGCTTCTCCTACCATTCCCGGCCCTCCCCTCTTCCCCCCCCCCCCCCCCCCCCCCCCCCCCCCYYCCCTGCCACCCCTTCTTCCCCCGGGCCATCTTTCAGATCCATGTCTCATTTCGTTTCCCTTTCATGTTGTCTTTTAGGTACTGCTGTCCGTACATATTCAAGCACAGACGACGAAACAGGAGTCGATCACAAGAATCGAACGCGTCACCTGAGGAAAAAAGACCGTACGATGTGTACGATGCTACTTCTTACTGTGAAGTTGTGTGTGAACCGACGTACCTCTTGAGCGAAGCTCCGCCGAGAAGAGGAGCAGCACAAGTGTTTTCTTGCTTTGTTTGATTTGGTCATAGCATACTTATCATGAATGAATAAATCGTACCTGTGGATGGGGATTTTTTTTTATTTTTTTTTTTTTGATGGGGATCGTTATTTTTTTTAATATTTTTATGGGGATCTTTGATGATGGTCCAAGACTGGACGTGTGGCACATAAACAAGCAAAGAGAAACTCGGCGCGCCCTTCCGTCCATCGTCCATCCTTACACACCTGTTCTTCTATTTTATTTTTTTCCTTTTTTCCCTTTCTTCTTTCCGCTTTTTTTCCTTTCTTCTTTGTCTTTTCTGAAAGGGAAACGGCCTTGAGATGTCATTATCGAGCTGACCGGCCCTACCTTCTTCCCCCGAAGACAACGTACGGTCATTATAGCTGTATTTAGACTGAAAGATGCCCCAAATACAGCTATAATGACCGTACGTTGTATTCGCGGGAAGAAGGTAGGTATAGTTCAGATTGCCGTGTTGTCCCTCGGGACATGCGTTAAAAATAATTGGAACGATACAGAGAAAGAGAAAAGAAGATTAGCATGGCCCCTGCCTGAGCAAGGATGACGCACATCAATCGAGAAATGGTCAAAAAAAAAAAAAGAAAAAAAAAAAGCATTGCCGTGTTCAAGTCCTCGCTGTTTGTGGAGTTCGAACTCAGAACCTGGTCTGTATTTCAACTGTTCGTTCATGGGTGTACCATCTGAGGTAGGCCATGCCCTGGGACTTTCCACGACGCATCTGACCGTAATGGCGCCCACATTCAGTCGGTAACATTCCTTACCTAGTGCACCATGACCTCTTCCTCTCTGCGCAATGACCAACTCGGATACGAGATTTTTCCCTTTTTTATTTTCCCTTTTTTGTAAGGCACGCTTCAAGCCAGTCAGAGAGAAAAGAAATAAAATAAAGAATAAAAAACAATTAGTTGTACGGGGGAAAATGAAAAACAGGTACCACTACTCATTATTATTAGAGTAGTCATACAGGGAACACCGTAGCAGAGAGAGAGGTACGGAGAGCAGCCGGGGTTCCCTGTATGACGATATATATATATTATTTATTTATTTATTTATTTATTTATTTGGGAAAATGACTATAATTAGGAGTAGTGGTACCTGTTTGTTTGTTTGTTTGTTTGTTTGTTTGTTTTCGCCGAAGGGGAGTGGGCCGCGCCACGCTTCGCTGCAGTGCACGAAGGCAACGCTGGAAGGGTCGAGTAGGCGGAGCCTGCCTTCTTCCCCCGAATGCAACGTACGGTCATTATAGCTGTATTTGAGGCATCTTTCAGAGTAGATACAGCTATAATGACCGTACGTTGTATTCGGGGGAAGAAGGAACCCCTATGATCCCTCCATAGCCCTGAAAAATTAATTTAATATCATGGGGTCCAATGGACCACGGATCAGATATTAAACTGATTAGAACAGATACAGTGCACTTGATCTTACTTAGCCAAAAGGTTACTACACTTGATCTTAGCCAAAAGGCCGAGAAAGGTATTGTACCTGTTTTTCATTTTCCCCCGTACAAACTGTTCTTTATTCTTTCTTTTCTTTATTATTATTATTATTATTATTATTATTATTATTTATTAAAAAGGGTGACGGCCTTGAAATATCATCATTGAGCTGACCGCCCCCAGGCAATTCAGGCAATTCAGAAATATCTGGTTTTATTAATCTAGAACCATCATCTGGATTCAAACTCTGGTCTGCATTTGAGCTAGGCTCTTGGGTTCTTTTCTTTATTTTCTCTCTGACTGGCTCGAAGCGTGCCTAAAAAAAAAGGAAAAAAAAAAGGAGAAAAAAAGGAAAAAAAAAGAGGGAAAAAAGGGGAAAAAAGGGAAAAAAAGGGAAAAAAAGGAAAAAAAAAAAGGGAAAAATCTCGCAGCCGAGTTGGTCATTCCGCAGAGGGGAAGAGGTCATGGTTGCTCTAGGTAAGGAATGTTTCCGACTGAATGTGCGCGCCATTACGGTCAGATGCGTCGTGGAAAGTCCCGGGGCATGCCTTCAGTCATGGGTAAGTAGATCCCATGCCTGTTTTTTTTTTTTTTTCACCCCGTTCTGATGAAGGTTACTAAGCAGTCCACCGTCTTCCCCCGAACAAAATAAAACCCACCTTTATCCTGACCGTATCGACCCAGATGAGCTTACTTCGTAAAAGCGTTCATGATCAGGGTGCGTTGTGTGAGGGGGAGGACGGCAGGTGCACATATGAAGCGATTACGATCTTGAGAGGTTTTTTTTTTTTTTTAAATACCTTTATAAATATAAATATGTATAGCCGCCGCTCAACCTACATCCACGTGGGCGGCCTTGTACGCAAGAGGTTCTGAACAGGGGGAGTTGTAAGGAAGAAGCTAAAAAACGAATTGATATTTTTTTTGCTTCCTTTTGTTTTTTTTTCGTTTTTGCGCTCTGATATTCATGTGACGATATATATATCGTCACAAACAGAACTGCCCGGTAAACCGTAGGCAGAGAGAGAGAAGTGGACAACAAACGAGGGGCTGTATGTTCACGTATAGGGTAGCCGGCGTTGGGTTTGGGCCGAACCCCAGAACCCGGGCGGCCGAACGATCGGGCCCCCTTGGAGACGCGTTCGGTCGAACGCAAAAAGTATGTTATGCAGAAAAATAAGCTCAACAACTTTTGCCTCGGGGTCACATTGAAATTTTTACTAAATTAAAAAAAAATGAAAAAATATTTATTTATTTATTTATTTTAGTTTTAATGTTTTTGGGCCTGGTCGGGCAAAACATCCCAGGCCACTCTGGTAGCCCATGATTTTTTTTTATTTTTTTTTTACTTTGGATCACCAGCTTGATTGATCATTGATTGAATTACTTGATAGGAAAAAAAGAAGACTTTCTTTCCTTCTCTCTCTCTCTCTCTCTCTCTCTCTCTCTCTCTCCCTGTCCCTCTTTCTACGTTTCTCTCTCTCGAAGTCTCCCCCTCTCTCTCTTTCTCCCCCCCTTCTCTCTCTTTTTCCCCGCCCCCTCTCTCTTCCCCCCTCTCTCTTCCCCCTTCCCCCCTTTCTCCCCCTTTGTCTTTTCCATTTTTTGTAAGGGTGTCATTGAAGTGACTGGCCCCAGGTCATTGTTTTGATGTCATCCACCTACTTCCTTTATCTGGATTCAAACTTAAGTTTGTATTTTAATTTAACAGTTCATGGGGTGTACCAACTGAGCTAGCACCGTTGATTACTTCGAGATTTTGCTCTACGTCTAGTCTTATTCTCTCGTTCTCTGTATTATATTGTTATCGTGCTTGCATGCTCTGTCATGAAGGTCGGGGGCCGATTGCAACTTGGGAAGGTTAAGTTCTGGTTTCGTGTATTTTTCAGCGTGGTCACACTTGGGCGTGAGATTTTCAGATCGGATGGCAGGGACCCGTGAATACTCGAAATCGAGTTAAACCTCCTCGAGTGGAGGAGCCGTGTATACTCTAAATCGGAGCTAAACCTCCTCGAGTGGGGCACGAGCCAGTGTCGAAGTCCCACTAGCCAGTGTTTAGATTTGGTTTCCAGTACCCACCAGTTTGTGCCGTCCGATCTGAACATCTCACGGTCGCACTGTCGCCACCTTGGAAATGATGGGAAACCAAGTCTAACCCCCCGCCCGTGTCTTCCCCCGATCATAACGCACCCTGAAAATGAACTAATACAGTGAAAATGACGGTGAGCTGTGTTCCGGGGAAGACGGTAGTTGAACCTGAGTTGGACCTGGGGCCGGG